GGATCCCCCTCCTGGCTCCGGGCTCCTCAGCGAGAGGAGCGATGCTGGGGCAGCACAGTGAGGAATTTCCAGCCATGGGCTAGTGAACGTGTCCCAGAAAAGTGGGGACCACCTTCGGGACAGTGGATTTTGAGTCGGAGGGGTGCCGAGCAGTAAAAGCCACGCACCAGCAGGAAGGATGACTTCTGTCGAGACTGTGGCGGACCCGGCCTGCCAGCCCCAGGGTCTCCGAGCCCTGGACCTGTCGTGTAGTGCTGCGTTCTGGTGTGTGTGTGTGCATGCGTGCGTGCGTGCAGGTGTGAGATGGGGGCATGCAGGCAGAGGCAGATAATGGGCCGGGGAGCGTCCTGACCAAGGAGTATGGACTGCTGTTGAGTCTTTTGTGTAGTCATTCCACCCTGTTGTGAACACTTACTGGGAGCGCAGCTCTGTGCTTGGCACTCTGCCTTCAGGTAAGACAGGTGAGGCTGTGCGTCGAGATACTCAGGGCCTGGTGGGGATGGCCGGCCCAGGCCTGCCCCCTTCCCGTGGAGGCTGGGCGGTCAGTTTCAGAAGGAGGAGAGGGGGGAGCTCCGGTCACGGGGCTCCCCATACACATGCCAGGCCCCAGGCAACCCCACCTTGTTGTCTGGGCGCCCTGGCCCTGGGACAGCCTTGTGCTGAGGCCGTGGAGCGGGACGTTCCACTGGCTGAGGGGGGCGTGGGGCACTGGGCCCTATGCCAGACGGTTCCCCCTGGCTACCAGCGCAGACACGGAGGGGGCTGGGGAGTGAGGCTGAGGGGCAGCCTGCATCACCGTGGGAAGGACTGGCCAGGCCCTCAGTGCCCTGCCCCGGAGCCCTGGCCACCCCAAGGCCTCCAGCGAATGGCAGGCTCTTTGCTCCACCCTTGCCCACCTGGCACCTCTCCTGTGGTTTTGCTGCAGACTCCTGTTTAATTAGAGGCTTTTCCCGAATTCCCAGGGAAGGCTGGTGGACAGGAAGAGCCCTCTGACCCATTGGGCAACACCTCCTACCTCCCATCCCCTCAATACCCGTTCCACACATGCATCCCAGGCCACAGGCTGTAGGCTGAGCCGGATTCGGGGTTTTCCTAGGCCTGGCTGTGCCGCACCGTGAGGCTTAGCCAGCCTGGCCTAGGACAGTCAGCTCTGGTCCTCCATCAGGTGAGAGGCCTCTCTGTGGTTTCCTGACCAAAGCTAGCCCTCCCCAGGCACGGGGGTTTGCTGAGAAATGTGCCGTGGGGCCACCCTCTCCCTCCCTCGGAGCAGACCTGCCCTACCCCCTTCCAGGGCAGAGTGGAACTCTGAGACTGTCTTCCTGAAGCTGGCACCTTGGACCCCAGGCTCTGGTCCTAAGACTTCCTTCCAGGGGTCCCACTCCACCAGCCAGGCTTACAGTTCTGGGGGCCCAAGAGCCAGAGTCAGGGCTTAGATGGCAAGGCCTTCTCGGAAGCAGGAGCTTACACTCAAAAGCCCCCAGGCCGGAGGGACCTGTGGAGGGTTTCCATTCTGGGCCAGGGCTCCAGGCGTTTGTGCCCTTAGGTGGCAAATGGTGGAATGCCTTCCACCAGAGTCCCAGGTTCTTGAGGGAATGGGCCCTGAGGCTGTGGCCCTGTCTGTCACAAGGCCTGGGCAGGGCTGATGATGTCTGGCTACCACTCTCTTGGGGACCTATCAGGGTAAAAAGGCCCCAGAGGCTTTCAGGAAGCTTCCCAGGCCCTCGGCTGCTGCTCCCCCAAATTCTAAGATAAGGCAGAATTTTTTGTATCTGTGATCAGTGAGGTAATCAGGGCTGCTTTTCTCATCGTCATTATTCAAGGGGCAAACTGGCCCAGGATCCTGTACTGAAAAGGTTAATATAAATGTCAGGGAGCCTAAGCACCCTTGCCCACTTTAGCTCGTGGCACACCTGAAAGTGATCACTAGAGCAGCTGGAGGAGGAAGCTGGAGGCTGAAGCACACGTGGAAATGCTGGGCGTGAGCAGGGAAGAGCGGGAGGGAGTGCGGCCTGACCACACAGTGCTTTGGAGGTTTTCTCAGGGCACGGGCGGCTCTGGGCAGGAGAGCTGTGATCTGATTTACATGGTTGCTGGATGGAGGACTGGTGGAGGGACAGGAGGCCACTGGAGGCGTCCGGGTGACAGGTGACTGACAGACCGGAGGCGGGATGTGGAGAGTCAAGGACTACTCCAGGGTATCTGAGCAACTGGAAGGAGGGAGTGGCCATTAACTGAGGAAGACGGAGAACAGCATGTGGGGCAGAAAACCAGAGGCTCTGCTTTGGACGTACTGAGTTTGGGGAGCATTTCAGACTTCTGAGCAGACGTGGTGAGTAGGCGTTTGGGGAGTGGAGTTCCCTCGAGCAAGTAGGGGCTGAGATGGGAATGTCAGTCATCAGATGAAGACATGGAAAGCTGTGACCCTGGATGAGAGCACTCTGGGAATGAGGGGAGATGGAAAGCCGCGGGCCCATCTTGGGTCAGGTCAGGAAGGTGGGCAGGCAGGAAGCAGGCCGACAGAGAGCGGCCCGTGAGCTTGGAGGCAAATCAGGTTTGTGTGGCATTCTGGAAGCCAAGCCAAGAAACTGTTTCAGGGAGGAGGGAGAAATGAGTTGTGTCCAGTCCTGCCGAGAGGTCAGGTAAAAGGAAGACTGAGCACTGAGTTCAGCAGTGTGGCAGTCGCTGGGGACCTTGACAGGAGCCATCTGGTGAAGCGATGGCGCAAGGGACGGCTAGGCTGAAAGGCGGCACGGGGACTAAGAACAGGAGCCCAGGATGGGGATGGCGCAGCTGCGTTTCGCAACGAAGGGGAACCAGACACGAGCTGGTGGCTGAGGGAGGATTCACAGCGGGGAGGACTGGCAGCCCGTGGGTACCCTAGCGGGAACGCTGCTGGCCTCGCAGCCTGCTGGGCACAGTGCCTGGCGTGCGGCAGGCGCGCAGTCATGAAGGGTTCCACAGGTGTCCTCACCCCGTGGCTGCCCCAGCCCCTTCCTGTCCCGCCAGCCCTTGCCGGCAAGCCTGAGGAGCCTCCGTTCTGCCCCCGTGCCCACACGCGCTCCGGCTCTGTCACAGTCGTGTCCGGGTCCTGAGTGTGGCACGGACCCCCCAGCTGGCTCAGAGAGCCTTGCCTTAGAACAGCAACGGGAAAGTCACCGCACCCACGGCCTGGAGACGCCATGGCCCCGTCCTCAGCCTCAACCTCAGGGGCTGCGGTTGCCAGTGGGCTGCCACGTGGGTCTTCCATCCTCAAGCAGATGGCCTCGGGCAAATTCAGACCACAACTGGCCCGTGTGAGGCCAGCACCTCAGGGCCAGGGAAGGACTGTGAGGAGCATCTCCTTTGTGCACGCGAGGGGCTCCCTGCGTGTCCCTTCGTCATGCGCAACACCTGAGGAATCGAGCTCTTGGGTACTGTGTGCCTTTGCCCGTAAGGGCAACCCTGTGACCCTCTCCGCTTGACAAGATACTGTAGTCCGTTCTTGAAGGCCACACACGTTCGAACCAGGGTCTGCACGGGGCCAGCCGACGACTCCTCAAGTTCACAGGGGAGAGCCCTCTGTGGGCTGCCCCAGGACGCCGAGAGAGGGCTCTAGTTAGAGGTGCTCACGAGGGGGCTGTGCTGCTGCTGGGACTCCCCCCCGTCTGCCTGAGGACAGAAGGATGAACGGCCAGGGGACTGCAGAGGTGGCACCCCGAGGGAAGGGTGCCGCGGCCAGGAGCCCCGCCTCGAGCTCCCCTGGAGGCAGGAGTGTGGGGGACAGGGCAGCCAGGGCTGCTGCCGGGGGGCGGGGGGTGAGTCTGTGTCCACCTGGAAGCCTCACACCTTGGCTGAGTTGCAGCGCATACCTGGCCTTCCGTCTCGCCTCACTGGACCCCAAACAGCCAATCCCAAGGGGACCTGTGCCAGGCCTCCTCACCGTGAGCTACCTGAGCTTCCCCGGACCTGGTCATGAAGGGATCACGAACTCCATTACACAAGAGCGGGAACTGAAGCCCAGAGAGGTTAGGGAGTCTGGCTGAATTCACCCAGGGGGAAATTGCACCCTGGGAAGGAGCCCAGGCCAAAACCTCTCACTACTGTCCTGCTCCAAAGATGTCCTGCTGCTTCTGTGCCGTGAGTCGGAAGTCTCTTATCTGTGCTGAACTTTCCAAGTGAAGCTGAGCCTCAGTGGTAGATGATGTTTCCAGGATCCCGGCTTGTGCAGGGGTGCGCTGGGGATATGCAGAGCTGTGCCTTGGCCCCGAGCAGCACCTCCCTGTGGCTGGGTCGCATGGGGAGCCCCCTTCCCAGCATGAGTCATCTCGTGACAGATCCATGTGACTAGTGTGAAAAGTAAGAGTCCTGTGTTGCTGAGGAAACGGGAAGTGTGGGGGCTGGATGGGCTGGCCCTGGAGGGAGCCTGGCCCCACCTAGCCCACCTGCTCTGAGTTAAAGGGCGGATGGGAGCCTTCCCTGTCCCCACAAATCCTGTGAAGCCTGAGGTGGAATAGTGGGTCAGACTCCAAACCCTGAGTCTGGGGGCTGGAGGAAGAGGAAAGAAAACTCCAGGCTGTCCTGGGGTAAGCCAGGTCTTGAGACCATTACCTGATGTCTGGGGCTGGAGGCCGTGAGCAGCCCCCCAGACAAGCCACAGGGCCTCAGAGAAACCAGGGGACGAGGGGTGGGGCGAGGGGGGAGTGTCTCAGACCCAGAGGCAGAAAGAATTTCCTGGACAGGGGAGATGTGCCTCTGGGATTGAGTGTGTAGAAACCAAGAGGCTCTCTAGGTGGTAGGGCTGCTTGAGCAAAGCGTGGGAGGCTGTGGGCAGGGCCACTGGACATAGGATGGCTTGAGTGGTGCCCCCTCCCTGAGGCCTGTGGTTTTAACCACCCCCACTTTCCTTTGACATTTGGGCTACCCGCACAGCTAAAAGAGGCTCTGTCTATATGTATGCCCCCAGCCCTGGGCCTTCCTCCTTTGGGTCTCCCCACATTCACACCACCCCCCTCATTTTTCAGCACAACAAGGCCAGTCAGCCAGCCCACAGCGTCCCACAACTCTCTCCTCTCTATGAACATTTCAGCAGCCCCCACCCTACACCTGCACCAGCCGACATCAGCCAGAAACAAGGTACGGATCTGGGAAGGGGAGGGGCCTGGCAGCCCCAGAGTCTGGGGGCCAAGTCCCTAGCTTCTGAGTCCAGGGGCTCGGCCCTTTTTACAACTGGAAAACTTGGGGCTGGGCAAACTCAAAGCCCAAAGAAAACACCAGAAAGGTGGATGGGGAGCCTGAGGGCAGGTGGTGCCAGATCAGACTCGGAAGGCTTCAGGTTGAGGTAGGAGCCTAATCCCGAGGGGCCTCCCAATGCCAGGATGTGGGAGCAGGCATCTGTGTAAAGCTGAGGACAATAAAACTTGTACCCTTTCCCTCCCCCCAGTGAGAAAATGGAAAGTGGTGGTTGTGATGGCTGATTCACCTCAGCCTCAGGGAAAGTCATTCTGAAATCAGCCACTGTCGGCTGTGGGAAATGTGCTGACTCAACCCTGGGGAGGCAGAGGGGTGGGTGGAACCCAGGCTGCCCAGGCCAAGGGGGCCTGCGTCCTGCACACAAAGCCAGGCCAGAGCCCCCAGCCGAGAGGCCCCAGGTGAAGACCAGCAGTGGACCAGGGCACGGCGAGGCCTGGCCTGCCCACCCCTCAGTGGCTCCACCTCTCCCTGGCCAGCCAGTGTCCTTAAGGCTGGTCATCCAGCCTCTCTGCCCTGGAAATGGGGCCCTGTCCTCACACTGGCATAGTCCTGAACAAACCGGTATGTCTGGTCCTCCAGCAGACGGAGGGAGGGTCTTAGAGGCCCCACAGGAGGCTCTAGGGTGCAGTCCCAGGTCAGGCTAGCTCACTCACTCGGCCCCTCTCCCCTGTAGGAGTTCACAGGCCTCTGCAGACCCCTGACCTCTCTGGCTTCTACTCTCTGACCTCAGGCAGCATGGGACAACTCCCCCACACTGTGAGCTGGTGAGTGTGGGCCCGGTGGGAAGGGGGCGCCTTGCGCCGGTGGGACCCATACTTGCCGTGTCCTTTTCCTCCTCCACCCTGCTCTGCGAGCACTCTGCTGCCAGCCCTGTGTCAGAACTGGGGGCCGTCCAGCAGCTCTGTCCATTCCCCAGGTGGCCCACTGCACTCCCCTTGACTCCTGGTCTCAGTCCTGCCACACGTGAACTCGGCCTCCATGTCTGGGAGCCTCGAGTGGCATGGGGGTGGGGGGCACGGCGAGCTGCCCAGGTTATAAGAGTAGGTAAGGAAGGAAAGGGAGACCTGCCTGGACAGGGAGGGGACAACATGAATGGCCACGAGACAGGCTTTTGCCTCTCAGCCACGTGGTGGGCAAGGGGCTACTTCCTACTCCCGTCAGTGCCTCCTGCCGACTGGTCCGTTGGCTGAGCTCCCTGAGGAGCAGAGTTCTCCTGTGCCCCTTCTGGCGCCAAGCCCAAGCCCAAGCCCCTGGCCAGCTGCTGAGAGAGCCTTAGAGTCTGTGAAGACTGCACCAGCCCAAGCCAGCCTGAACCTTAAGTCAGCAGGCCCGACTGGGCCACAGGGCCCGTCTTCCTCCGGAGCCGGGCGTTGGCAGGCTGGTTGGCCCTCTGCTCGTGACCCACAGTGTGATGTGGACAGGTCTGCAGCGTCTCTGGGCTGGGGCAGTCGCCCAACAGCAGGAAAGCATGGTTTCCCAGGAAGAAAGGGAAGGCCAGAGGCCCACCCTGAGACCTGCCTGCCCTTTTCCACGTGCTCTTTATCGGTGTTCAGCTCACTCCGTTTCCTGATTCTCCTCGGACACTGCCCCACTCTGAATACCAATCAGGACTCCGCCTAGGAACGCCCCCAGGACTGGAGCTGGCCAGGCGGGGTTCTGGACACCAGAGCGGCACTGCTGACGCGGGCCGACCCTCAGGTCCCTGCCCTCTCTGGGCCCAATCTGCCAGAGGCCCGACAGCGACAGGGCCGTGTTAGTGCTTTCAGTGGGGATTGTAAGAGCCCAGAGGGCTGCCGCATCCAGCTTGGGATTTCAAGGGCTTTCAGGAGAAAAGGTCATTTAGCCAAGCAGGGCCTGAAGGCAGGCCAGGAATCGAAAGGGGGCAAAATAATCCAGGCGTTTTAACAGTGGATGCAGAAGCCCTAAGGCAGATGTCAACCCCATATTGACCAAGAAATAAGGCTGGAGGTGAGCTGGGGTGGGGGGGGGGGGCTTCCTAAGCTGGGTCCTAGGAGGATGCTGCCATTTCTGTCCCTTAAGCGCCAGGACCAGTCTGTGGAGCAAAGAGCAGCACGGCGTGCCCCCTGGTGGCAGATGCCAAGTACACATGCTGGAGAGTCCTACAGAGGCTGATCCCCTGCACCTGGTGGGGAGGTCCTGCCCCACATCTGGCCAGTAGCCAGACTGCTAACAGCTGTCTCTCCCAACCACAGGCCCAGCCCTCCTCTCTACCCCTTGTCCCCTTCCTGCGGATATAGACAGCACTTCCCTGCCCCCACTGCAGCCCCTGGCGCCCCCTACCCCAGGTGAGTCCCGAACCCTGCAGCCAGGCTCCTGCTTCCTGTTGCCCAGGCTTCAGTGCCCACCCGAGGCCATGCCCAGGCCAGTGCTTGCCCTGTGCTAGTTGTCTGTCCAGCCGTCCGTCCGTCCTTCTGCAGCCCCCTGCTGCGCTGTGCCTGAGAATGAAGCCAGTGGGAGAGCAAGAGGCCTGAGGCTGGGCCATACCATGCAGCCAAGCGCCCTGGAGCAGTCAGGGACAGTGCACGCATGTGTGTGCTCGTGCTCCTGCCTCTGTGCGTGCGTGAGCCCGCCCAAGTGCACGTGTGCGTGCACTCACCCCTTTGTGCCTCCCTGTTGAAGGGCGGGTCAGGCACGCCCTCCTGGGCGTGAGCTCTGCCCGCGCCGAGGCACCACCTTTTCCATGTGTCTCCAACCTCGGGCCCTTACGGTGGTTTCCCCAGAAGAGCAGAAAAGCGAAGTGACAGGTGTTTGTGTGTCCCTCCACTTCACTCACCCCCTCAGTGACGGAGCCAAGCCAGGGATGGAACAAGAACTCAGCAGACATGTCCAGCCCTGCTGGAGTTCACAGCCCAGGGCGGGAGGTACGGACAGAGCACGAACAGAGCCATGGGCAGGGAGAACTTCACAAAGAGTCACATGTCCTGAGTGAAGCGGCCAAGGGGAACAGCACTGGTCGGGGATGGCTGGAGGTGTGAAGTGATGGAAAACGGGAAAGGATGGGGCGGATAGTGTCAGCGGGGCAGGTCCCATGGAGGATCCTGGGTTTTATTCGGGGGGCTGTGAGGGAATTTCAGCAGGGTGGCCCAGAGCACTCGGGCGCTTACAAAGGTCACTCTGGGTGTTGTGTGGAGAGAGGCCTGGAGGGTTCAAGCAGGAGAGGAAGGAGACTCACAGGGCAGCCACAGGCTCAGGAGGCTGAGCTGGTTTAGCATAAGGTAAGGGGACAGGTTGCAAAGCTATTTAGGACTCACTTCATAGCCACCTGAATGACACGTATGTGGGTTTGTGCAGTGTGTCTGTGTGATGTGTTGGGAGCAGGTGTTTGTGTGTAGCTGTGTGCTTGTGTGCAAGCCCGTGGGGGTGGCGTGTGCCCCTGTCCTCGTGTACTGTGCAGGAGCCGCCAGGTGTCCAAGGTCTGGCCCATACATTCCTGGCTCAGTGTTAACTCTCCTTCTGCCTTTAGGTTCACCCACCCGCCCCTGATGCTAGGCTCTGGTGTGCCTGGTCACCCCGCGGCCATCCCGCACCCGGCCATCGTACCTCCCTCAGCGAAGCAGGAGCTGCAGCCGTATGACCGCAGCCTGTGAGTGAGAAGGCACCCAATGTGGAGGGGGCAGACCTCAGGGTCCCATCTGTTCATCAGCCAGACACAGTCCTCCCACCAGGCTCTACACCTGCCACCTAGAAGCTCCAGGGGCTGCCAGGGGCGACCTCTGGCTGAGCCATCTTGTGGTTCTCGCCACTGACTGACCAGTGTTTTGTTCGGGGTTTTTTTGTTAGTTTTTGTTTTGTTTTTTACGCAAGCAATCTCTTCACCCAATGTGGGGCTCGAACTCACGACCCCGACATCAAGAGTCATAGATTCCTCCAAGCGAGCCAGCCAGCACTCCGCCCCCACCTCCCCCAACCAGTGTTTTTTGATCCTTAGAAGGAGGAGGGGACGGATGGGGTGGGGAACAGAGATTTGGTTTGAGCCAACAGGGGAGGGGCTGAGGAGTCCTTAAACATGTTTCTCTTAGCTGCAGTATTCCTGCAAGGAAGAGTTACGTAGCTCTGATCATCCATTTTGGAGGAGCTGGGAAAGATACCATTTACAAAACCTTCGTTTCCATGCACTTACACACACACTGGACACACACTAGAAAAAGGCAGTCGCGTTAGGTGGACACTGGGGGGCTCCTGAGTGATCTGGACATATACCCCTCAGGAAGACGCAGGCAGAATCCAAGGTGGAGAAGGAGGCCAAGAAGCCAACCATCAAGAAGCCCCTCAACGCCTTCATGCTATACATGAAGGAGATGAGAGCCAAGGTCATCGCAGAGTGCACACTCAAGGAGAGCGCTGCCATCAACCAGATCCTAGGCCGAAGGGTGAGGCCACGGGCAGGTGGGCTGGCGGGAGTGGGCCCTGACCACCTTCACCCTGGTGCTGCCTTGTTGATTCCTTAGTGCACCCCACCTACCCCTTCTTCCCCACTGCAGTGGCACGCGCTGTCTCGGGAAGAGCAAGCCAAGTATTATGAGCTGGCCCGAAAGGAGAGGCAGCTGCACATGCAGCTCTATCCAGGCTGGTCAGCGCGGGACAATTATGTGAGTGGCCAGTGACACACAGTAGGGACGGGGAGGGGAACCTTCAAGATGCCATGCCCCAGGCCATAGTCTCCACAGGGAAAGCCAGACCACTGTCCTGAAGGCAGAGACAAGGAGGGCAGGTGGTGGAGTGCAAGGGCCCAAGGCCTCACATGGCTAGTCTGAAGAGAGCTAAGCAAGGGAAGCTGCCCCTTGAAGGCAGGCCCATGTCCTCTTTTCCACCTGGGATGCACTCCCCTGACAGGGCTGTTGCCTGGTATTTGGCCATATAGGCAGAAGGGGAGTAAGGGGCCTTGTAAGTCATCGCCTCCACTCAGAAGGGAGACCCGCATGGGAAAGGGAGGAGCCGCCTCTAACTGCCCCATGGTATCCTGGCAAAAACTGCCATTAAGAAACGCCAGGCCTGTGGGGAGGAGGGAACTGTGTACCCAGAATCTCAGCAACAGCCAGACTAGGCTGCAGGTCTCCCAACCACACACTCACTGGAATGATCAAGGGACCACTTCCCAGATCTGAGCAGAATCCCTCCCTCTGTTCCCTGCAGGGGAAGAAGAAAAGGCGGTCACGGGAAAAGCACCAGGAATCCAACACAGGTGAGGCCTCCTCTCAGCAGTGGAGACTGCTCTCCAAGCCTGCATTTCATGAGCACCCTGCTCTGGCCCAGAGGGAGAGGCAGAATTCTCAGCCACAGACTTTCAGGCCTTGGGCCCTCTGAAAACAAGGCCCACTTCTCACAAGTCAAATCCCCACGTGAGGAACAACTACACGAAGTCCCTTTAACAGTGTAACACTGGTGTGTTGACCCACTGCACCCTCCCACCTCTGCCAGCCCTGCTCCCAGCTAGCCTCTGCCAGAGAAACCGAGCCTGTGGTTCTGCTGAGATGGGCATGCGGGCTGTGGGGACGGAGGTGCAGCTGTGCCTAGGCCCTGAAGTCACACAGCCGGCTGGTTGGTGCCCGGCCATTTCTCGGTCACCCCCCCCCATCCCTGTTTATTTAGGCAGTGCAAAGTGCTCTGTATGGAGGACCCAAGGAAGCCATACTCTGCTTCAAGTCTCCCTCCTGTGGGTGAATTCTTGCCCCGAGTCTGGTAATTCAGACTCCACATCCATGACTATCTCAACTGTGCTGCCCCCACACAGGGGAGCTCGAGGCTAGGACTGAGGCGGGGTAGAATCCTCGCCCTTTTCTGAAGCTGAAGTGTGGGCTTTGCTGTGCATCTGCTTTAAGCTACAGCATGAGGGGGTTATGGGTTAGGTAGATTGAGCATTGGCAAAAAGGAAGAAAAACTGGATGACATGGGCAGGGAGATGTGGGGGGTGGGCAGCCCTGAGGCAGTAGAGGCTGGATCCCTGTGAGTCTCCCCTGGGCTCCTCTCCCGCAGCTACCCTGCCAGGATCCCCTCCCTCCCTCCACCATTCTTCCCACTGCGTCTCCTGCCTAGCTAGGTGCCCACCTTTCCTGATAACTTGGCTCTGGGTCCTGGGGCTCCCACTGGGGCTGGCTGTGCCATGGAGAGGCCCGCTGCCTATGGGGCCTATGGGGTATCTGTGACTGGCTGACACTGATGTTACCTCTTCTTTCTGGGCCCTGCTCTGCCCTGCTGCCTGCCTGCTCGCCCTCTGCCCTGCTCTGCCCCTCTGGCATGGCTGTGAGCAGACCCTGGCTCGCCTAAGAAATGCCGTGCTCGCTTTGGCCTCAACCAGCAGACGGATTGGTGTGGTCCGTGCAGGTGGGTTTGTCCCCACCACCATCCTCCCTTTGCTTCAAGCTGCTTCCCTGACTCTGCACATGTTCTGCTGGGCCTGTAGCCCTCCTTTGGTCCCCCAGTCCCATAGCATACCCACAGATTGGGGAACCCATGTCTCCTAAGAATGGTCTAGAAAAGAAAGGCAGACTCAAGAAGGTAGTTCTGGCCCTTGGTGCCTAGGGTCCTCTGTTAATGAGGACCTGATGCTGACTAAGGTTAGCAGATCCTCAGCAGGCCAATCTCATGTACCCCATTCAGTGGGCCTGAGCCCCTGGCTACCAGACCTAGAACTCACCATGGTCCACCAATTCCCTCACTTCAAGTTAGGATCCCTGCCTGTGTTATCCTGAACGCTTAAAAACCCAAAGTGACTGTAGTAGAGGACCGCCTGGATGCCAAGTGGTCACGTACCTCATCTACCTGAGACCAGGGACTGCAGAGGTAGGGAGAGAGGAAGAGGGGGTATCCCTGGGCCATCCTAGCAAGAGGGCCGTACTTAGGCTCTGTGGCACTAAACCCATGTGTTTCCCCATACAACAGAGAAGTGTGTATGTGAAAAGAAGGTATACCTACCAGGTGGCTAAAGTTTGCCTGGTTGAGGTTGAGGCTAGGTCTGGTAAGGCTGAGTCTACCTCAGGCAGTGAGTTCACAGACTCTAAGGAATACCGTCCAGTCCCTCAGAGTGTCCACCATGCTCCCTCTCCAAGGGCAAAGAGGAACTTGGGCAGTACGTAAGTGTGTGTATATACACACGTTGGGCGCATTTGTATTATTCTGCCCGAGCACCCCCCAGGAATCCACAAGCAGTGCAGCCCTTTGCCTTACTGCAGATCTGAGCCCCACAAACACGTGAAGCAGAGGCTCCACAGCCCAAACTGGGAGATGGCTCCCCTGGAAAACAGGAGGCAGCCCCCACGGCTAGCCTGCAAGAGGTTCCTGTGCCACCCTGTGGCTGTGCTGGGAACTACACCTGTTCCAAGTCTGGGCCAGGCCCAGCAGAAGTGCAGTGCTAGGTTTGCAGGCACAGGCACATCACCCAAGTCCTGGGGACAGGGGACAAGAGATCAGCAGGCCTGTGCAAGGACAGCATTTTCTGGTTGTGGTGTATGACTGTGAATTCACCCTCTGTTTACAGATAACTCTCTTCACTATTCCTAGGAGGAAAAAGAAATGCATTCGGTACTTACCCGGAGAAGGCCGCTGCCCCAGCCCCGTTCCTTCCGATGACAGTGCTCTAGGCTGCCCCGGGTCCCCAGCCCCCCAGGACTCGCCCTCATACCTCCTGCTGCCCCACCTCCCCACAGAACTGCTTGCTAGTCCTGCGGAGCCGGCGCCTACATCACCAGGGCTCTCAGCCGCTCTCAGCCTCCCAGCCCCCTGGACCCCCCCAGGCCCCCCCCGGCGCCCTGCAGAGTACACAGGTGCAACGACAGGAATCTCAGAGACAGGCAGCCTAGCATGCACAGGACACCTGGCCGCCTCCAGGGACCCATCCTCTGAGAGGAAGCGACAGAGCCCCAAATCACATGGAAACTGGCCAGGGGCCCTGTTACCTCCCTCTCAGGGACCAGGCCCAGGAGACTTCCGAGGCTGCACAACTTCTGCCTGAACCTGGGGCCATCAATTCCAACTGCTCCAAGTGGTGGGAATCAGATTGGTGGTGTATCGTCTGATTAAGGGCATCCCTTGTGCCTACAGCAGCCTGCATCTATTCTTTTTACCACCTGTCTTGCTGGCCAGATGCCCCCTGCCTCCTCCTCTGCTTTTCTGCTATAGGTCACAGATGGGCGGGATTGAGCCCAGCTACTTTCCGAACCCTACACCTCCCCAGTCCCACCACTGCCACACCCTCCCCATACCAGACACTTCATGGACCAAGAATGAGCTGGTTTATGAAACAACACCTCAGCATGGTCACAACCACATGCTCAAGAGGACAATGCTTCTCTCAGAAAGGCCCGGAGAAGCCCTGTTGACAGAGAAGGAGTAATTATTCATAAGCTGGACCAGAAGGAAGCCTCTTGCCATGTTCTCAAGAGCTTGCAAGACGAGGAGGGGATGGAACGGGTTAAATCTAGGCCTATCACCCTAGGCAACAGGAATGACCAGACACTATCTTATCAGGCAAGTATGGGCAGTGAGACGTACCTGGCTCTGGTTCAAATTACTTGGAAATGTTTCCAAGAGAAACTCAACCTCCCCAGAAGCTCTGATGACCAAGGTCCCAAGCCTGTCTCTAATGGCTGAACTCGACAGCCAAAAGAAATTATGGCCCCAAACCCGGTGTGCATCCCTCCCTACCCCGAGAGCCTCTGTCACAGCTCCATTTTCTGCTTACCCGGGTCAGTCTAGGTGGCTCGTGAGCAGTTGAGGGCAAACCTCATGACATCCAGTGCCTACCTTTCAGCACGAAACAGGCCAGCTTCAGTTTCCCGATGGGGCTGCAGGAAGGACCATCACCATCAAAGCAAGGAGCCCAGAGAACCTCTAGTGGTAGTCAGTGGGTTTTCACCACAGCCTACTTTAACCCATTTCTGAGCCAAGCTTCAACCCTGAGCCTTAAAAAAAAAAACTTTTAATTTAATTTTTTTTTTTGCCCTCTTCCTCACTGTACATAGCCTGAATCCAAAGAAAAAGGGCTGTTCCTATACCCGTACATCCCTCAACAAAAGCCTTTAGTTCCGACTTTAGCCACTGGCTTCTCAGAATCCAAAGAACATATATTCTAGTGTAGTGTTGCAAGAAGTCTTGAAAGAAAAGGACTATTGTAGTGTTCAAAATATTTTTGTATTGTTAATGCATCATCAAACAAAAACTTTTTTAACGTGAGAATAAAGATTCTTTTTACTGGGTTTCGAAATTTTTCAAAGCTTGACCCAAAGGAATAAGCTGTTTCAGTAATAGAGCTTGACACTCTCCTTTTCTTACCCACAGCCATAAAACTTGGGGTTTATTCTCTATCATGGGACACATGTTCTCAAGACTTTCAATCAACAGAAGCCAAAGATTACTTTCCTCACCTTCCCTATTGGGGCTTAGGCCCTGCCCGGCCTTCCAACCACAAGAGCTAATCTCCCTCTAAGTGTAAACTCCCCAATCCTCGGACCTCACAAGTGATGCAGGGACAGGCCAGCCTGCATATGGGAATGGGCTGTAAACTGCCACCACAGACCCACATAACCACTAGGCTCCATCTTCCTCCCGCAGAGAGAAAAGACCCAATACTCCACAAGCACACATCCTATTTTGAAGCAAACCGGAGTCTCTCATAAGCTGGTATCAGAAAACTTGAAAGAGCATTTTAATAGCACCCTTTCCTCCCAAAAGCTAATTGGGTGCTTAAAGTATCTTCCTATTTTTATACAAAACCTCTCCAGTTTGATAAATCTACAGCCTCCCTTTTAACAGCAGTTTCCATCATGTTTAAGAATACCGCTAACTCCTCAAACTCCTCATGAATGTAGAAGGTGCAAAACCACTTCAGTAGGTCAAGCAAATAAAAATGCTGGGCAAGAAGATCCCAAGTCACCACGCATTGTAATTTTCACAGAGTTCTATTTTTGGGATTTTATGTTTAAAAATATTTATAAATAAAGTCATCTTCCAGAGTAGTGTCTATCTAAAGTAGGCCACTGGAAGTTGTAATCCCAGATTTGCTTTTTTTCCGGAAGGGTACGAGAGGAGACCATTCTCTCGACATCTGTCCCATTTAAAGAATTCCACTCTGGCCTAGTTGTTTCAAAAACTACATTTTAAGGCTTATGCAAGACTGGATTGCTGCATCTGATTTGGTGTCTTATTTAGAGCACATTGGGTACAGGAACAATGCACCCTTTGTGTATGGGAGGGTACAGAGGGGGGCTCTGGCAACTTTGTTAAAATCAAACCAGCCTCTTAAAAAAAAGTGACTTCAAAGAGGAAACTCAAATCCTCCTAGATCACACCAGCACATTCCTGAGGCCACAGGTGACTTGAGAGTGAGGTCCTAAATACAGTTTCAAATAGTACACCAGTCCCACCTCTCTGCAAGCCAAGAACTAGCCCTGTTTCTAAGACCTCACAAGATGCCCCAACCTCCCTTACACATTCCCAGAAGAGAACAGGCAAACCGGCTTGGCATCTGTGCTGCAGTGAGTTCTCTTGCACTCACGGGGAAGGCCCAGCTCAGCAAGCTGCACGGCCTGCCCAAGTCTCTCAATCTGAACACATCCCCCGCCCTTTTTTTTTTTTATATAGGAAGCCCTGTGGCCACTCTTTCTAGCTGTATCTTTTTTTTTTGTTTTTTTAAGATTTTATTTGACAGACAGCGAGAGAGAGAACACAAGCAGGAGTGGGAGAGGGAGAAGCAGGCTTCCTGCTGAGCGGAGAGCCCGATGCGGGGCTCAATCCCAGGACCCTGGGATCATGACCTGAGCCGAAGGCAGACGCTTAACGACTGAGCCACCCAGGTGCCCATCTTTTGAACGTCCCTAAAGCACTGCTGCCCACTCTACTGAGTGTACAGTTAAGTCTGGCTAGAAAGGCCACAAGTGCCAGGAAACAGACTGATTCTTTACATTGTTCCAAAGAAGAAATGAAATAGGTTCCTGCATGCATTTCTAGAAAAACAGCCTAGAAAGGGCAAGGGTAACAAAGACTTGTCAGGCCTATATATCAAAGTAGAAGATTTGAGACCAAGAACAATTCCTTATATAAAAAAGCTGATTGGCTTTTCTTTGAAGTTAGAAAGGCTGCTTTATCATGACTTTCTCAGGTCTACCCAGAGCTTTAAGAGTTCACCAAGGGTCCCTGAAAGAGAGCTGACCACCCAAACAGACCCTGGTTCCTAGGCTCCATCAATGCCGACTATTCTAATCACCTCTGTCCCAGAACTCTAATTCAGGCTCCTGGGCTTTCTACTGGCCCGGAGCAACTAATGGACCTTTGTTGGTCTATTTGTCCACAATGGGCCAAAGGGGTCTGAGAAGAGCCCTAACTTAACTACTTAAACAGCAGGAGACATAGGTGGGGATATTCCTAGAGTCGTTGGCTAGAATGAAAGCCAGCTCAGGTCAGGAGAGATTTTTTTGAAATAATAATATAATAATAATATGGGATTAGGCAGAGAAGTTTAACCGGAAAAAGCAAATTCTGTCCTAGGGGTAGGAACTGTGCTATCTCTTAGCATTTCTCAGGAGTTCAGTCATGCAGAGTAAGGAGTATTTCATCAGCCATAAATTATACAGAAAACAGTAGTTCAAAGCTGGTACTTCTTTTCAAGTTCACCTGGGGCTTTGGACCAGATCCTCCTTTTCCATTCAGGTATTCTCTCCTTTATCTGAAGGCTTATTCTTTTAAGCATGTGCAGTCAATTTTGGGGCAGGGGAGGGGAGGAGGAATGGGTAGGGGAAGGGGAGAAATATGGAGGAATTAGGTCGAAAGAACAAAGGAAACCAAGCCAGCAAACAGGCCACTCTGGAAACTCCTCTTGAATGTAGTTTTCTGACAGTGTAGCTCTCTCTACTCCCACCCATCCTATAAGCCTCCAGTCTCTGCAGAGCATCTGAAGCAGGTAAGAGAAGCTGTAAAAGAGCACACTCAGCACAGCAAGGACAAATATGCATTTGCACAATACAGGAGCGAAGTATTGAAACTGAGAGCACTTTGATGGACTAGGTGGATTCTCAGACTGAAAGAAGAGGCAGGCTGGCATACAGATCAGGTTTCAAGTTAAGCACTGTCAGAAGGTCATGAGAACAGATACTGTAAGCAACTCTATTCTATATTCCTCCCACAAAATGCCTCTCGGTATTGGCACACACACCAGATGTAGCCAACGGTGTTAAGATGCCACAAGGCAGCAAGTATATCTGTGAGTTAAACTATCACTCAAGTCCCACACTGGACATCCATCAAACGAGAGCTCCCTGACCAACATCTTTATGCCACCAATAAGGTTCATATCCACTGACCGCTCAACAGTAAGGACAGCACTCAGTCTATCCTGCTAAGGTGTCCAAAAGGCTCAATGTTGGGCCACGGGATATATTCTCAACTTCTCACATCATTCGTCTTGGTATGCACATCCAGTTCCCTTACTCATTCTGCCTTTTAGAGAGAGGTTTTTAACAGCAAACAAAGGCATCAATTAGGACTCCAAATGCAAAATCCCCCATCACATCCTTTAGTACAATACTAAAAGTTTTAGTTCAACCACCCAAGAACTGCACTGCCTGACATGGGTCTGATCAACACTCTCCTGGTCACCAAAATTCTATCACTAATCCAGCACAATGTGTCTTTCCAGCCTATACTCTCCAGCAGACCTGACACCCAACCCTCTGCTGGTAGTTCCAGACTGAGCACTGCTTCCCCCCTCACCATGGCATCCCTCCATCCCCAACCAAAACCACCAATTCGTTTCTTCTCACAGAACCTTTCTTAGGCCCTTCCAGCCCTAGAACCCCCATTTACTCATTAATCTTGTTTTGTCCAGGAACATTTTTATTACGGTTCCTCATCCCCTCCTGGCAGTATTTATGCTTTGCCTCATTAGCTACACCAAAAGCTCCCAAGAGAGAAACCATGGCTTACACTTCCTACAAAGGAGAAGCTAGGAGCTACTTTAGATTCAGCCATTTCACAGGCTTTCCCTTTACTAGCAATCTTTCCCCTAATTCTCTTCTGTACTAGCCAGAAATCAATTTTCATACAAACTAAATAACTGAAGATTATCATCTTTTTAAAGCTCAAGCAACTTCACAGGAAGAACATTTGATTCTTTCCCATTTAAATATATAGGGAGCTTTAGAAAAAAAAAAGCTCTGAAACATCTTCAAATGGGAAGGGGTGGCAGAAGTTAAGCTTCAAAAGATAAAAGCATCTTTGGCCATGGATAGGGTGAACAATGCTCAGATCAAGAGGTCTGCTGCTCTCTCAGTTCTTAACTTGTGGAAGTACTTCCTATGCATGTATAAATCGCCCTCTAAGAGTCTAGGCGACCTATCTAATTTCTTAATTTCCCTTGGATCGGCAAACAAACTATAGAATTGGCCAATTTTTAAATAAACTAAGAGATTGGGGTGCCTGGGTGGCTCAGTCAGTTAAGTGTCTGCCTTCGGCTCAGAGCCCTGGGATCAAGCCCCATGTTGGGCTCCCTACTTGGCAGGGAGTCTGCTGCTTCTCCCTCTGCCCCTCACCCCGTTCTCATGCTCTCTCTCTCCCTCAAATAAATGGGTAAGATCTTAAACACACACACACACACACACACACACACACACAACAACAAAAGTAAACTAAGAGATCATGTGGTTTGGAATATCTGCCTGCCCTGATTCACATGCTCATAGTGACTTACTCTCCTTCTTCTCCAGCTAGTTCCAGTCTAAGCTCCTCATTACCGTTAATTCATGTTACTGGGGCACAGTCCTAATAGTCCACCAAATTATGGTAAAGATCTTGTTTAATTCTAGCAGCTGGTATGTTCCAACAGGTGCAGAATCAACAGATCACAGCTGCAATGCTGCTCAGGAATTTTTACCTTACTGGGATGAGTTTGTGGATCTTTGGAAAAATATAAAAATTGCAAAGCAATACGTACCTTGTGTATTAAAGTTAGATTTATGAAGGCAAGCTAATAAAATACAAAATATAATAGCACTTCAAATGACATAACTTGCTTCTACAATGTAAGAATTACCAGAATCTGTTTGAGGGGGGCATATCCTTAATCCACGACAATGTCAGAGAAAAAGGAATGAGCTAATATTGAGAAGGAATATGGTTTACTCTCAATCATAAGTGACACAGTCAATGAAAAGCTGAGAAGCCAAAGAACTATCACACGGGGGTCTTCATCACCAACAGCACCACT